AGCCTTGACCCTGATACTATTCCCCCAGCTGCTAAACCCAGTTTGGACCCGACGTTCGGAGCGGTTCATAACACTTTGACTACCCTGCAATAGATAGTATCAATCATGTCTAGCGTTCGATCCCCATCCCCATCCGGATCTGTCTTGGGAAAAAGAGGTGGTACTACTAAGGCTACTTCTAGCCTCAGTACATTGGTCCAGTCAGAAGGAGATAGTAAGCTTAAGGCTAGGGTGGAACCCTTTACCGGGCAACGCTCCTAACTTTGAGCTTATTTAATCCAACTCCGTATGGCCTTTAACCTTAACTAAGGACAGTTTACCAGCAACTGACTGAAGGTCATCTATGCTGCAGCCTATCTTAAAGGAGCAGCTTTTGCCTAGTTCGAACCCTTTCTTAGCGACCACTATAAGAACGCGAACGGGGCTAAAGAAAAGACTAAGAGGCTTATTAACTCTTTTGAAGAGTTTGAAAGAGAAATGAAGGTGATCTTCGGTACAGCTAATGAAGAAAGAACTGCTGCTAGAGAGATACATCAGCTCAGGCAAACTGGATCTGCATCTGCCTACTATTCTACATTCTAGCAAGTGGCCTCACGCCTAGACTGGGATGAAGATGAAGCCTTATGGGACATATTCTACCAGGGATTGAAGATGGAGGTTAAAGCTAAAATGGCTGTACCGCTACCTACAACTCTGATTGAAGTGGTAGACAAGGCTATCAAGGTGGACAACTGACTCTATAAGCTCAGGATAGAACAGTGACACCCTGGAAAGGTTCTATTCGGCGGGTATGGGGGAAGGAAGAATTGTACTTACGATCAAGGGGACCCAATGGATCTTTCCGTGATGTGAGCCGGACGATCCTCACGACCCAGAGGCCGCGGTAACAGAAGGATCCTGGGCAGAGACAAACGGGAGAAACGTAGACGAGATAACCTGTGCTTCAGTTGTGGAAAATCCGGACATCGGGCGAAAGACTGTGGGACCCCGACCCAACGACTGTATATGATGAGCAAATGAACAGCCAGTACACCAGGAAAAAAGGCCGACACTGGTGTGAGCACTGCTAAAAAAGCGGGCAACCTCTCTGAATCAGAAGAGGTACAAGCACAGGAGGGATCGAAACAACTATTAGTAGGAACCAAGGCCTACTGGGAATGGTATAAGAAGGAGTTTACGTGGGCGCACGTATCCTCTAAAGACGAGAGCTTCGTCGAGATCCCGAGAGAGGGAAAGGCCTCTCACACACAACCTCCAGAAGAGGAGAAGGCCAAGCCAGAAGAAGAAGCGGATACACCTGAAAGACTCAGCCGTTTCCAGAAGAGAGCCATTCGACTAGCGGAGAAATATGACCGCCACACCAGAAAATCATGGACAGCCTGTCGGTACGATCAATGCTCTAAACACAGGAGCGAGAAAGAAGGGTCAAGGTAATACCCTAGGGGGACCAAGAACAAATATCAATACCAAGACCCGGCCGACTAGATGAGAGACCTCCAACAGGAAGAGTCTGAAGAAAGTGCGCAGGATCCACACGACATGTACATGGAGGATAAGGAAACCAAGCACAATCTTTCTATGATAAGCAGGAAGGTACCCAAAGGAAAACAACCTAGCGAGAGGGATTCTCCCTTGGTGATCCTTAATACGGGACCTTTCTATGTCACAGTAGCCACCAAACAGTGGGGATTGACCATAGGACAAAACAGGGAGAAATACCCTACCTACTTTCCAACAGGAGGAAGAATGGAGACACAACAACCCATAGTAATAAGAGTGTGCCCTGACCATAAATATCCCAGATATCCGACCATTCACACACACAATGTGATAGGACAACCAACATACTCCCTAAAGGAACAAGGGTTAACAAGCCTACATATAATAGCTAAACAACAACCAACCACATCACCATACTTCCAAGATGAAGAAACAACAAGTGAGGAAGAGTTGAGTGACGAATCGGATTGGGAAGACTAGACACATAACAGCGAGCTTCCCGAAGCCCTAAACAAAGACCAAGCCTCCGAAGCTAAACCATGGATAGTCACTCACATTACACCAGGATTAGTTAGGCTTGTCACTAATCGATAGGAAAAGAAAAGGTATACAGGAGATTGTTCAATCGATACCTAACACGCGCATGTCACATACACATCAAAAGCAAGCCCAAAGAGGGACGTTAGGGCATTTCACTTGAAAATGTGTAAGGACAAACAGTGCGAAAACAAGGACAACCTGTATGTACACATTAAGCACGGGGAAGACAGAGCGTCCGAGGAGATAAACATGCCCGCATCCTGGAAGGAACATTTTGAAAAGCTATAGCTTGGATCAGAGCAACCAAGCAAGGAGGTCAAGGTAAAAGACAAAAGACCTGACAAGACAATATAGAGCAGGAAGTTCTTGTACGCCAATGCAGATTGCAGAGACTTTATAGAGCCACACGAACATCACTGCACTATTGACCCTATGGTGCCTCACCTAGCTATCTCCTACTGCCAGGCAAGAGGGATACTCCAGGAAGAAGGGCTCTACGGAGACAAAGATTACACGTTCCAAGAATACCGGCACATCCACCTACCAAAAAACAAGAGAAGGGGAGGCCGTTGAGGCAAACCTCTCCTCTAATAAAGCCTCAGCTTTATACACTCGGTAGAAACACTAACCAACACTTAGTCCTAACTGGACATATCCAAGGAAACTACATGAGAATAATGGTCAACAGTAGGGCCAATATCAACTATATGGGCATAGGGGCAGCATATCGGCTAAAAACCCACTAGTACAACAAAGAACAACCCTATCAATTGGATATGGCCGACAGCAACTTGATAAAACAAGACCAAGGGTGGGTTAAAAAAGAACTACGGGACATCCAACTTCAAATTCAAGGACATAAAGAAAACATTACGCTGGACATTGTCGACATAAAATACAACGTGATATTAGGAATAGAATAGCTGGCACAGCACAATCCAGTAATCAACTGGAAAAAGAGAACACTCGAATTTCCGAATTGCAGTCACAGACAACAAATAGGGGCCCAATCAGCCTCAAAGGTTCCCTTCACAAAGGCGATATAGGTACAACCAGTAGGAAGAGCTCTGGCAGGTATAGCTGCATCAGAAATTCCCCCGGAATACAAAGATTTCAAGGATGTGTTCACAGAGAAAGTAGGGAGTACTGCCCTACCAGAACATCAACCATAGGATCACGAGATACCCCTGTTGGTGGAAAATCCAAAGTACCATACCAGATTAATACCACTTTCTAAGAAGCAGGAGGACTTCTTAAAAGAATACTTAGAAACCCACCTGAAGAAACAATTTATACGGAAATCTACGTCACCTATAGCACACAGTGTGCTATTTGCACCCAAGAAAGACAGCAGCCTACAACCGTGTATCAACTTCAGGAAGCTCAACAATATCACCCGAAAGAACCGATATCCACTTCCGCGCATAGATAAACTGCAGGACAGACTTTTAGGCGCCAAGTGGTTTACAGCAATCAACATTAGGGACACCTATTATCAAATCAGGATAAAAGAGAGTAAAGAATGGAAAACGGCGTTCAAAACACATTAGGGACTCTATAAGTATCAAGTCATGCCGTTCAGATTGACCAACACACCCGCCTCTTTCCAAGAGCTAATTAACGACACCTTACAAGACTATTTGGACGTTTTCGTCCTGGCCTATCTAGACAACGTCCTCATATTCTCGCAAACCTACAACGAACATATGGAGCAGGTTCAAAAGGTGCTCAAGAAACTACAACAAAAACACCTCCCGGTGAAACTCAGCAAATGCGAATTTCACAAACACGAGATAGCTTTCCTCAGCTACCTCATCTCAGAAAAAGGATTAGCTCCAGATCCTGAAAAAATACGATCTATTGAGGAGTGGCCTCAGCCACGGAACGTTAAGGAAGTACAATCGTTTGTGGGACTTGCTAACTATTACCGCAAGTTTATTTTGGGGTATTCTCATACAACTACTCCTTTAACAAACCTCACAAAGAAGGATCAACGCTTTGACTGGACAGAAGAATGCAAACAGGCCTTCAAGGCCATCAAGGAGAAAATGACTAAGGCTCCAATACTCGCCATCTTCAACCCAGAAAAGGAAGCCATACTCAAAACAGACGCCTCAGACTACACAGTCAGCGCATGCCTTACCCAAAAAGGGGAGGATAGAAAGATCAGGCCAGTGGCCTATTGGTCCAGAAAGATAACCGGACCCGAGTTAAACTATAATATCCACAACAAGGAACTGTTGGCAATAGTAGAAGCTTTGAAAGAATGGAGAGTATACCTGGAAGGGACCAGTCAACCCGTTCAGATCTTCACTGATCATAAAAATCTTCTATATTAGACCACAACAAAGGAACTCAACCGGAG